CAGACCGTCGCAGCTCATTGGACATTGTTTAATTACTGTTTTGGCTTCCGCCAGGCCCTGTACTCTGTTTTATTGTATTACTGTTAAGCAGGCCTTCGGTAATCTCGGATTACTGGCCGGTTACGGTGCTAAACCCATAGGGCCGGGTTTGGGTCGTGACAATAGCGCATTCAATCGATTAGTTTTAATTTGCCTAATCATCATGCATTGTCTACAACAATCAAGACTATCCTCCACCGATAGCCCAAAGCAGTTATTTCTAAACAGAAAATAAATGCACAAAATTGATATTAAATCAACATTTCAATTAGGTGAGCGATAAATGATCCAACTACACCCTCTAATCCCTTCCCTTTCCAATTTCCACATTTTCAATTCAATCCCTCATTTCCAACAATTAATTGTACAAATTAATCAATCAATGTAATTAGGGCATTTTCCATAATTAACATTTCAACCCTTCACGGTTTCATTTTCATTAATGTTTCAACATTTACTTCATTTCTTCATGCCAAACATGCATTTAGGTTTTATATAACTAAAACCCTAACTTTTGTAAAACTACACAAAAGCCCAAACTCTCTCTAAATTACCCAACAACCCCTAATATATCGAAATGCCAAAATTTAAAGACAAAACTCATAAAGAGGAGTAGGATATCTCTACCTCGAAGTTAGAGCTCGGATGGAGAAGAGACCAAAACCAAAGTGCTCCAAAAGCCAAGATTTTCGGATCAAAACGACGCCCTCGACGATCAACACAACTTTTGTGAAGACCAAAGGTGAGGAAAACACCCTAGCTAGATCAATACCTAAAGAGAAGGCAAGGTTTTAGAGAGAGAGGCTCTCAAATGGCTTTTTCGAAAAAGTAAGAGAGAGAAAGGATGAGAAAAAGTGATTTAAAACTGCCTCACAGCCAACTGATATACGACATTCCCGCTCGAGCGGAAAACACAACGCTCGAGCGTCAAGAACAAAAACTAGGTCCGGTCAAGCGCGAAAGGACCCGCTCGAGCGCCAAGGCACAAGAATAAAGCACATCCGCTCGAGCGCGAAAACCAGTCCGCTCGAGCGTAGATTTCCCTCTCCCAGAACTTATACCCAGAAAGTACTACCCACTCGAGCATCAAAGAACCCGTTCGAGCGCCACCGCTCGAGCGTAGAAATCACATCTGCAAAAGTTGTGCAGGAACACGAAATACTGGAGGTGTGCAATCCCCGCTCGAGTGCAATAAGACCCGCTCGAGCGGACCGCTTAAAAACTGGGCAACGAGGAATTGAAACCAAGGCCTAACCAACCTGTAACAACCCCGCCCAAAACATCCTAAAACTCAATCAAGTGGAAGTAAAGGACGACAACAAGATAGATACAACTACCAACTTCACGGAACCGAGTCCGGAATACAACAGAACAGTAAAAGGGCAACCGGGATCGCTATAGTTTGGGAAAGAAAAATGCTGTTGGTTACTGAAAGCTTAAATGAGCTGCTTATGACTTCTGTTATTTTGAATTTTTGCATCAGACAGTTTGCTTATATGTGCAATAAAAGATAGCGTAAATAAGTTGAGTATCCTGAAACTTGGGGAGGAGTCTTTTTTGTTTACAAATTATTAGCTTTCAACTTAGAACGAGCCAACAAGCTCAATAACGTGTACTCTTTAAGTTCAGTTGGGGCCTATGTTGTCAGGATTTACATTTAAAGGGGCTTTGGATGGGGGGTATGATATTGACTTTCCTTGCATTTTGCTTTGTTATAGCTGTGAATTCTTAGCCAACAAATTCGGCGGCAAATTATTTACTATTCTAGAAATCACTCTTGTCAGTAAGAAATCAGACTCTTAGCAGTAAAAGTCTCATTCGGGAGGGTTCGGAGAAAAAATAGTGTGGGTTCGGAGAAAAAATAGTGTGGATGAATCATTGCTGCACGGTAGGGGTGGGAGAGATGACAAGGAGAGGGAGAGTTTTTGATTGGTTTACAGAAAGGACTTAGGGTTAAAAGTAGGAAAAGGTATTTGCTATAGCAGTTATTCGCTATAGCAGGTATTCCACGTCATTTATCCAACGTGGGATCCCATTCCACAAAATACAGCACGTAAGTAAACACACTATGGCCTTGCTTTGACTGGCTGCACTGACTTATTTATTCCTCCCTTTCTTGCCTCCCTCTCTCTGCAACTACTAACGTTTCTATCAGTACACCCAACAACCCCAAGACCTTCAACCTCCACCATGTGTCTTAAGGGCACAAGGGCGGGAGAAGATTATAGTTAGTGTTGTGTTAGAAATTTTTCTCTAATATTGAGAGAGAGAGAGAGAGATTACTCTTGGTTTTTATTTTTACGAGTTATCCTTTCTTTTTTACTTTTTTTTCCTCTTTCAATGATAATGGTAATCCAATGATTTAGGTATAAAGTAAGGAAAAAAAATAATTTTGATTTAAACTATGGTAAATTAAAAACTAATAATTCAAAAGCAAAAGTCAAGCATCCTTACTCAACTTTTATAAATCAACTTTTTTAGTTTATTTAAATTATTTCTATGTAATAAATTATAAGTAAAAGTTATGTCAAATAATTTGGCATAGATTATAAGTAAAAAGTTATGTCAAATAATTTGGCATAGACTTCTAGAATAATAAAAAAAATAAGTAATGGTGTATTTCAAAATAAAAGTACACTAATTTAGGGTTGGTTTGGGATGTCCTAAAAAAGTGCACTTTTTGACTTATTGGTGGGTTTGGGTTGGGTTTGATGTGATGTGTTAGAGAGGTGATGTGATTTAAATAAGATGATGTGACTTAAATAAGATAGTGACTTTTTGACTTTTTGACTTGTTTAGTACATGCCAAACTAACCCTTAATCTTATTTGGGTCATTGAATATCATTTGCTAACGTGTTACAGAGAGGGAATGACAAGAGGATCCAAGTATTCTAACACGACACCAAATATATATATATATAGAACGAATTCTAACAGCATAACTATGCATGGATATATATATATATATATATATATATACTGGTGTTTGCAAATGTGAACCTGCGTGCATTATTATCTCAAGTTTAAAAGGGTGCTGGAAAATACACGAAGTATTTATTGCGTTGGCAGACTGGATTTTTTACGTGTGCAGAACTAAACGATCATAGTTGATGGGTAAAAACTACTTTTGTCTGCACTCAAAATTTGGGAAGTTTCAATGATCAGCAAGTTCAATAAGCTTTTCAACCACATTCGGATCTGCAAGCGTGCTTGTGTCCCCAAGCTCATCCAACTGCCTAGCAGCTATTTTCCTCAGAATTCTCCTCATTATCTTTCCACTTCTTGTCTTTGGAAGACCAGGTGCCCAATGGATTCTGTCCGGAGCTGCAAATGCTCCAATCTGAATTGCAAACAACAAACAAACAAAAAGCACATAATCAGAGTATATAAACCTTTTATATGATCAAGTTTTCCTTGTTTAATTGAGAAGAGAGGATTGCAAACATGTTCATTTTGCAAAAGAGGATTGCAAACACTGTTCATTTTGCAAAAAAATTGCTTGCTTTGTGAGATTTAAAAGTCGTCTCAACGAAGATGTAGCCATAACGGAGCATTGTGAATCTAAAGATTATGGTCCAAAAGTTTTAGAACAAGAACATAAGTTATATGAACAAGAAATAACATCATAAAACACCACAGAGTCCTAGAAGATCCTTAAGACTTTGTAATCTGAAGAATCAGATTGTCCATGAAAACGGATTCTAAGGCAAGATATACTAGAAGACTAAACACGAACAGGATAAAGACCCTCCGGCAATGTCTCTCTGTAAATGAATGGCATCAAGAAGGCATACAAACCATGTGTTTGAAAAGTTTCTTGGTATAGTAGAAGCCCCGCTGGAATCAACACATACCTGGTTTCTCACAGTGAGCTTAAGACTTTTTCGGAGTTCCTCGCTATAATCAACCCCCTCGATCAGAGTAACAAATGCATAAATGCCCTGTCCTTTAACCTAACAAAAGGAAAAAAATTATATATATATATACAAATTTGCCAGAGAGACTATAGGTCACAAAAGTACCTCATGCTCAACACCAACAACAGCGGCTTCAGCACAATGGGGATGTGAAACTAGAGCAGATTCCACTTCTGCTGTGCCAATACGATGTCCACTGCACATATTAATGGGAAAAAAAACTTAAAACTTCTTCCAACAAAAGGCTGAAAAATGTTTGGGAATTTGCTAGTTTATTATTCAAACGGGTGTATACTTTACAAGATTTCCAAATCTAAAAGGGGTGATAAAAGACAGCCTATGAAAATCAGCTAGTACCTGAAGATGAACAAAAATAAAAAGAGAAAAGATAGGAATCATGAAAAAAATTTCATGAAAATGATCATGAAAGATTTATGATTCTTGGATTACCTGTGGTGCTTTATTCTAAGTGTAATCCAAAGGGGTCACAAAGCTTTCATGATTATTTTTATGAAAGGTTTTTCATGATACGTAGCATTACTGAAATAAAAATCAGCTTGTACCTGACGTTGATGACATCATCAACTCTTCCGGTAAGCCAGTGGTACCCATCCTTATCCCTGAAATGAAATTGTAACTAGCCTATAAGAAAACAAATCGGCACGTGCTTCGGGGGGCAGAGAGTTAAAGAACAAACAATATTTAACGGCAATGATTAACTTGTTGGATCATTTAAGAGAACAAAAGAATACAGAAAAAAATTATAAAGCTTAGTTACAAAGACCAAGAGAACAAAATAGAATGGAAAGATGGGGGCTTAGCCAATCCCTCTTTTATGTATTTGTCCCTTCTCCAAAATGAAATATTTTTCTCACCGTCACTCTAAAATACTTGATTTTTTTAGTGGTAGCTTTTTGTGGGCCTAGTTGATTTTTTTTTCTCCAAATTGCTCTATTTCTCTACTTTGATCTGCTCTTTAGCTAGATCCTAAGAAGCATGTATACAAACATGCCGATTGGATACTTTTACAATGCAAATACATTTATATGATATACATAAAAATAATAAGAAATCAGTTTCATATTAAAAAGCATGAACAAAATGTTCTATTATCTATTTTAGAAAGCTTTATTCATAAACAAATTGTAAGTTTTGGGCTTCAGAATCCTTAAAAATTAAAAGGTTTAAATGAGAGAAATAGAAATATAAATATACATTGCTTGTATTTTATCATTAGATTCCAAATTATTTTCTTCGAACTTATTATATGTTTCATGTGTCCAACAATGAACATGCATTAGGTTCTAAATTTTTCTTCTTTTTTTAAATAACAAGGCATGTACAGATGCGAGTCCAACACTTGTTGGGGAGTGTCCGAGTTAGTGTCAGTGTCCAGCATGTGTCCCAACACAGATACATTGCCTTCTTTAAAGTGTCCATACTTCTTAAAGCTAGATCAAACCATGGAAAAGAAAGATTTGAAAATGTTTCTTTTTTCTTCCTACCCAAATATTGTGTAAAACCTCACATGTAATTGAGAAGAAAGATTGTCACTTAATGAGCATATGTACTCTCTGGTAATGAATTACCTTCTTCAGGGACCAGGGGAAAAAGAAAATTACCTGCTGCAGCCATCACCAGAGAAATAATAGCCTGGGAATGGCTTGAAGTAAGTAGTTTCATATCTTTCATGATCCCCATAAAGAGTTCGGAATGCCCCAGGCCATGAACCTTTCACACACAAATATCCACTGCACTCACCTTCAATCTCAATACCCTTCTCATCCACTATGACAGGCTGAACTCATGTCAAAATAACAATCTTGTAAGGAATAAGTTTACAACAATAATAGAGGAAGAAAGCACTAATAAGTAAATATGCTAAATCAGCACAGCAGTGGTGGCATGCACCTGAACTCCAAAGAAAGGAAAAGTGGCAGAACCAGGCTTCTGTGGCCAGGCACCAGGTAAAGGAGTAATCTGCAAGCAACAGGGAGAATTGTGTTGCAATTACAATAATTGTCAGCCCAGATGAGAAATAAAAACCTTTTTTTTTAGCTTTTAGGGTGTATTTTTAGTTCAAGATCTGTCCTACTACTTGGAACCAAAGAATTAGTAGATCTATTCTGGTCAAATTGGGACTGAGCAAGGGTTTTGAACTTAAAATCTATGATCTGATCATTGAGTCAATTCCATGATTATAATTTCATTGCAGCAAGTGATTGAGTTCAGTAGTTCCCCATATATATTTTGTCAACTCTAGAACATAGTAATATGTAGAAAACAAATTGTTTCAAGAGCCAGCAGATATACCGAGAAGAAGTGAGGGACAAAACCTACCATAAAGCCACCTGTCTCTGTTTGCCACCAAGTGTCAGATATGGGGCATCTTGAATCTCCAACTATATTGAAAAACCACCTGTTAAGATGAAAAAGAAAACGTGTCATACTTCTTGTGTTCAAAAAATGTAATCCAGCAACAAGAGTAGAGCTTGTAACCTCCATGCACTGGGATTTATAGGCTCGCCTACACTACCGAGTACTCGTAAGGATTTTCGTGAATAGCGGGTGACATACTGCATGGTAAACAACACTTGAAATCAGTATACCATATATCTTGCCATTAAAAAACTCCTGTGTCCCCAAAATATGTAGAGAATACCATAGTTTGCAAGAAGTGAATGATACGAATTGTTCTCTCTAATTAGAGGATATGAGGTGACGAATATGTACACGAAACAAACTTGGCCCACTGGTTTGTGCAGAGATTATTTACTACAATGGTGTACTTACAGTTAGGATATATGTATTTTGTGTATTGTATTTATATTTGAGGGTAGTTTAGTGTTTTGGCTTCACTTTTAATAGGGTTAAGTTCTTGTATTATATATGGAAGATTAAGCAATAATAGGCTAGCAATACTAGATATATACATTAAAGGGCAACACCAAACCAAAAAAGATACTAAAAACCCATGGACTTGATGGCAGAACCTAAAAGGTTAGAAAGTAGAAGTATTTATTTGATGATACTCATAACATGGAGTTTGGAAGGTGATATTAATAACATGTGGAATACAATGACAGAATGCATTAATAGAGCTCTTCTCCTCTCTTTTTTGCATGTTTAATCTTTGTTAACAATTACAAATTTATGCAAGAACGTCTTCACACTTGGCCAAGACACAGAAAACTAATGAAATAAATCAAATGAGTAATCAACTCCAAATAGTACTATTGCAAAATATAATCTTAACTAGCTTGTCATTTGAATGTATTTAAATTACACATGCATGTAAGGTTAGAGAATTTTTTTACCTCATCTCCATCACGCATCAGAGAGCGCACCAGTGTAGGGGCAGTATAAAATATTGTCACCTTGTATTTGTCAACAATGTCCCAACATCGTCCAGAATCTGGATAATTTGGAGCCTGCAGGAAATATACAGATTACAGACATTTGCCAAAAGGATGCAGGATCACATTAACAACTACACTTTCAATCAAATGGCATTACTGAATATTCAAAGGTAAATGTAATGCAGTGTACTCTACTGATAAATTTCTTGCGACTAATATCCTTAATGTCACAGGAAGCACCATCTATTCAAATCTATCCCATAAACTTATTCTCCCGACAGGACATAAAGAAATGAAATAAAGGAATACATTTCATGGTAATAGGGTATAGATTGCCTTTTCATTACATAGTCTCATTTATGTTTCTACTTTTTGGTTGAGAACATTATAGTTTTATCAAATTAAATTATATGCGCACACAGTTACTTAAAATTCATAAATTTTAAACTCCGTCTCTGTTGAGTTTTCACTCATTCCACTGATTCACTCCTTCATATATTTGCTCCACCAATTGATAGAGACACAATTCATATGAAACTATGGTTACAGGGTGCTCAGGCTAAGTTCACATCTATATCTAATTCCATCCTTTCCACATAGGTTACAGTTCCAGTATTGGCGGGATCAAGATCTAGGAGTTACTTTTAGCACGAATAATGATTCAGTGAACTTCAAGGCAAAAAAGGGCTGATTTATTTTAATTAAAGTTTCTAGTAGTTTGTATTAAGTCTATGATTAGGTTAGTGTCTATGGACATTATTTCTAATGCACATGAGTTTTAGTTAGGGGCTAAGTAATTGCCATATTAGGGTTACTCGAGGGTAAAGTTACTTGGTTGTGAATTAGTAATTAAGAAATGTTGACCAAGTTTGTAACTATTCATATGCACATGTAATGGAGACTTCTAAAGAAGATTTCAGTGAATAAAATTCAAATTTGGGTTTTCTTTTACTCTTTTTTTCTTGTTCTGAGGCTTGGTTTTAGACCCATAGCTCATGGTATTCAAGCCATTTTTGCTAAAAATTAAAATCTATTTTAGAATCAGATTTTGCAACTTCCACCATTGATCCAAGTGTTTATTCAGGCCTGCTATTAATTGTAGCCATTGGATTCCCCAGTCAGCTACTTCACGTGTCAAAAATTTATTTCTAATGCCCCCTACATAATAAACAAATGAGCTGGGGTCCTCTCCAGAATGCAATTATCCAAGTAATCAATTACCCCTTCAAATACTACAACTGTTGCTCCATTAAGCAGAGGCCCATAAGTAACGTAGCTGTGCCCAGTAATCCAACCACAGTCAGCTGTACACCTAAAAGAAAGAAAGGAAATGTCAGTCCTGCAAATTCCAATAGGTTTTATCTAATCACCAAAGATGAAAATTCATTAACGTTGACACTGAAATTTTCAAGAGTACCAGTATATGTCTGATGGCTTGTAGTCAAATGCATACTTGAATGTTGTTGCAGTGTATATCATGTATCCCCCAGTTGTATGCAGAACACCCTTTTTGTTGATGAAAATATCATATTACAATAACAGAAACAAAAAGAAAACGTTCATTATTCAAGGGAACTTAGATACCTTAGGCTTTCCAGTGCTGCCACTAGTATACAGGAGAAAAAGTGAATCCTCTGCATCAACCCACTCAACAGCACATGTAGTTGGGTACTTAGGAACAACATCCTGAAAGTTGGAACGCCAAAAAATATAGAAGTCAAACAAACTCTTTACAATGAAAAGATAATCGATTTAACCGTCTTCGATGTGTTTGCGGTGGCAGGTGCGATCAATGATCTTGGTGTTGGTTTGAAGAATTGTTAGCATTCTTATGTAGAGGTTGAAATGAATGAAGGAGGTTTGGCGTCTGTTTCAGTTTTGTAGCAAGGAGCTTCGACCTGCGCTGGAAAACAGAAGAAGAAAAAAAAAAAAAAAAAGAAGAAGATCAAAACACCATATCAGATGGATCACACATACTCATTAGAGCTATTAAAGCTCACAAATTAAAGCTCCAAAACATTTTCGAACTTGCAATCACAAATGCACTGAATCTTTGTTGATTGGCGTGATTAGTCAGAGGTACTTTGATGTCAATAGCTGCGAGTTGCATTCTCCTTTAAAAGAACAATTAGAGTTCGTTTGAGATGTGAGTTGGTTTTTTGGTTATTTTAGTTTGGGATCAAAAGTTTCGTTTGTGGTAGATTTTTTTGGCTTTTTTAACTTTTGTAAGAGAAAAAATAAAATGATTATGAATTAGATGTGGCATTTTATTTTATTTAACTGAATTAATTAATTTTGTCATATATAACTATTTTAGTCCAAATTTACTTTCCAAACGGAGCGTATTCATTGTCACATGTGGTATTGATGTAGCTACAAATATATGTAGACCATCCATTCACGTGGAATTCAAGTGTAACCCACATAAATTAATAATCAAGATCTATTAATGACATTGCTACATGTGGTGTAAAGTAATTTTTTCCCTCTACCAGTATTTGCTTTATCATCTTTATTCCTACTTACTTTAAGATCACGTTTGTTTGGTAGATTAGGTTGGATAGAATTGTTAGTGAGGAGATGATTAGTGAAGAGATTGCTAATGTGAGAATCGTTAGTAAGGGAATTAAATAAAAGTGTGTTTATTTTAATTATAATGGGAGAGATGATTAGTGATGAGATTGTTAAATTATTTTTATATAAAATAAAAATAAAATATTTCTATATTAAAAAATATTCTAAAACAAATATTATTTTTTTTAATACAAATAATAGGTTGCACTTGGGTTAAAAAAATTAAAAAAAAAAAAAGAAGAAGAAAAGTGCATCCTAATCCCCTCACTATTTTTTTAATCCTAACCCATATGAGGGCAACTTAATCATGTTGGAGTGTAGGAGTAATACTCCACATGGAGTAGCAATCCCCCTTCACAAGGAAGCCACCAAACAAGCTATAATGGGACCCACCTTCTTACTACTCCAATCACACCTCCTAATCTGCAGAAAATTCTATTTCCACATATCATATTGTCTCTGTGCACATCCTTTCTCACTCCACATACTTAGTAATTTGATTTTTAGATATTTATCTCAGTCCACACACCCCACATTCAAAATATACCCATTTAATAAAAAATGTGTGCACATCACTATACTAGCCCACACAAATTCCCAAAATAGCTCTCTCTTCAACTTGCACATCCCACCCTCCACCATGCACGGTCCAGCCTTTCCATCATCGTCTAGCCTCTCCATCTCCGATAGGCATTCTCCGGTAGCATGTAGCTTGCAGCCTCCTTTATTGAAGATCGGCATTGAAGAAGATCGACAGGCATCTTCGGCAGCCATTCTCCAGCCGTAAATTACTTATAAAGTGAGTGAATATTGCCTATCATTATATAAAATAACATGCAATCTGGGTTAGTTTTTTTCCATTTTCGATAGCCGTTTGTAATTGGCATACATTGAAACGAAAAACAACCATTCGGTACTGGTTTGCCGAATCATTTTAACCCATTTAGAAACCAACAATCGAATTACTTTAGACCATTCAATACTATACTTCCGAATTTTAAGTCTTAATACGGTATTACACTTCCGAAACTATTATTCATATACAATTGTTGTTTTCAGTATCCTGTCTATGTATTCGGCATTAGTTTGTCGAATGGTGATTGTGAATAGAAATTACATAAAATAATTTCTTAGCAAAAAAAGTTACATTTCCGTCGCTGCATTGGTTGTTTTGTATATCCTCTTGGTTTTCTAAATTGTTTGGCAAATCTTCCATCAAGTTTTGTTTGACAAACAATGGTAACCAAATGAGTGAACATTGGAAGAATGTTAGCAATGGAGTCTAGTGTGTGAGAAATAATAGAGGAAGAAGGTAGGCAATGGAGTGTGTAAGAAAGAATGAAGGAAAAAGGTACGTAATAAAATGTGAGAAGAGTGGAGGAAGAAGGTAGCAATGGAGAGTGTGAAAAAGAGTAGAGTGTGTGAGAATGAGTGTGAATAACGTAGGCAATGGACAGTAGATATGCACAGATAACTTTTACAAGAAAAAGATGTGAAGAGATCTCTATTTTGGATGTTTAAGTGTGTGGATAGATGTCTATTTGATCATTTTATTTAAGGGTAAATTTGTAATAAAAATAAAGTTTATTAAGTGTGTGCACAGAGACAATGTGGTGTGTGAAAATAGAATTTTCCCTAATTTGCAAAGCAAACATGACCTAAGGATAAATTACAAATTCACCCCTGAAATTTGCTTAAAGTACAAATTGTCTTATGTGATTTAGAAAATTACAAATACTCACTTGTTAGAATTTTTTATTTAACAGAATTAACTGAAAAAATGAAATTTATAATTACTCTCCTATACAATAATAAAATTACCTAAATTATTAATTGAAACATATTTCTAACATCATTAAAAACTGTTAATTAACTTGATAATTTATTAATAAAAGGGGGCGATTTGTTATGAAATTAGATACCTCAAGGGGTGGAATGTAATTTTCAAAATTATAGAGTGTGATTCATATTTAATCAAATCTCAGGGAATGTGTTTGTAATTTACCCTTACTTTAATTAGCAGTCAATATTAAAGCTAAATTTCTTGAGGTCTCGTCCTGTTTGGCGTACATTTTTTAGCCTAATTTTTGACTTTTTAACTATTTTAGCCTGTCTAAAAGAGTTATGTTTGGAATAAACTTTTGATTTTTAATTTTTATTTTTTATAATTGATTTGATGGTTATGACTTGTGAGAGTAGAAAGTGAAATGATTATGGGCTAATTTGGGAAGATGGTTAAAAAAAGTCACATCTCCTCTCTATTTTTTGGAAAATTCTATTTTCACACAGCTAATTAGCTCAGGGCACACACTCAATAAAATATTAATTTAATGACAATCACATCCTAAGTAAAAATGACCATAATAGACATCTAACAACACCCATAATATTATATAGAAAAATTCTCTGTATACATCTTTTAAGAACAAAAAAAACTCAATATACACTTTTTAAATTAAAAAAAATTAAACCCTAATTTTTTGTCAGTTTGCTTCTTTATCTAGGTCATCTCCATATTCCAATAATCCCACCACTCTCAACCACAAAGACTGGTTAAAGCCCAATGAGGCTCTCCAGCTCTTCCAAACTCTCAAAAACCCCAATTCAATACCCTCTCTCTTAACCCAACTCTCAAATCGCAAAGACTATTAACCAAATGAAGCTCTCTACACTGTGATCGTCAACAAGCTCACTCTAGCCAAGAACTTTGATGGGATTAAAGATATCATGGAAAGAATCAAACTTGAAAGAAGAAGTTACAGACTTTTTGAAGATTTTTTCTATAATGTAATCAAGATCTATGTCAATGTGGCAGGTTGTATAAATCGAGCAATAGAGACCCTTTTCGATATGCCCAATTATAATTGTTGGCCAATGATGTAATAACAAAATGATAAAATGGAAAGATTTCTTACCTTAAAGAAGGGTTTTCAATGGTCTTTAGTGGATGTTCAATGGAGGTCTTCAAAGTCTTTCATGCAGATGAGGAAAGTTCAAAGACTTTTTTTTTTCCCCTGTTTGAACAAAAGTCAATTTGGTCTTCACTTTTGTGAGTGGAACCAAAAATGTGAATTATGGTCAGTAAAAGTGTGTGAATTTGAGGGTAAAGTGTGTGTACCATGGTTATGAGTGAAGGATGTAATTGTAATTTTAAGGGTGTGGATTGAGAAAATTAGTTAATAATTAAATTAATAAGTGTGTGTATTGAGAAAAGATTTGCCTTGAGTTAATTAAGTGTGTGGAAATTGAATTTTCTCTATTTTTTACACATTTAAAAAAAAAAAGAGCCAAAAAGACAACTTTTAACCAACTTTCCAAAACAACCCTATAATTTGAATGTGACATTTTGTTTTATTAATTAAATTAGTCTATTTTATCTTTTAATAGATTAATTTAGCCTTAATTCATATGCCAAATGAGCCCTAAATATGCTTATCGCATTCCTCCCTCACTTAAACCCCTTTATCCAATTAAATATTAGATATCAAAGTAATACCACATAACAGTATCACCATCCAATGAATATTCTTATTTTGTAGGAATCATATTAATGTTAAGGTAATGGGAGATGTTTGTCCACTTGATTCATTTACAATTTTTTATTAGTCAATAAGATTGTTGCACTCAGTATTTTTTCTCTATACCCTCGTCACCCCTGTCAATGTAAGACCTTCTTTAATAATTACTCAAACCTTTCATCAAATTTGAATTTGATGAAAAATGAGTTCTTTTCTTACTCCAACGGTTGCATCAAATAGGTATCAAATTGAGAATTTCATTTTTCTTTCATTAAATTGAGAACAAATGTGCCTTTTATCAAATCACTGTTCCTTGCTGTTGCCGAATGTCCCCCCGGATGTCCTCTTGGATGATCACCTTGGATACACTTCACTATTTAGAAAGTTCACAAGTACAAAAATAGTGAAGTCCAAAGGGGTTTATCAAAGTTTAGGGATGTAAGACCAAGTAAGGTGCTCAAGATTAATCAATATTTTGATTTTTAATCTATTTTTATAATGTAAGGTGTGTTTCAATTTTACAAAATTTGTACCAATTCAACTAAATTGAATTTTTTTTTTATATTTTAATTTTTTTTTAGCATTTGAAGATAA